TAGAAAAGCAGACATTGATGTATTTTTTGCTAGTTGGCATCGACTTGGTACCGAAGTATTGGTTCAACCCTACTGGATAGAAAAGGTTGGGTCAGTGATATTAAGCCATGTTATAAAACTTAACTGGTTGCTGCTGTAACGTATTTATCACAATGTAAAATATTTTGCTAAGTGTCCTGACTTCTCTTTACTTTGTATGTATTAAAAATAGAATTTAGTCCATCTGTTATTCAGCCTGTTGTTTTGCAAACTGTCACTGTCACCAGTGAAGCAAAGCTCATCGCTGGTTGGCGATGTGTAGATGTGGAGGAGGAGCCTGTGTGTGTGTGTACGAACACAGGGAGAGGGAGAAGAGAATAGCTAACAATAGTTAACTTGTGGCCCATGTTTTGTCAATATTAGTGATGCACCAAAATTCAAATTCTTGGATAAAACCGAAAATGAGGAAACCAAGGCCGAAAACCAAAACACAGAGAAATTATTAAGTCAATTATTCGTACCATTACATTATCGTACCATTACATTATAACCATTGCATTTGTTGCTATGACTGTGTACTAGACAACCATTACATTTGTTGCTATGACTGTGTACTAGACCTTAATAAAATCAAGGCACTGCGATCACATAAATTAAAAATTAATAAATAACACATTATTAATTGTCAAAATAATTAATTGTCAAATATCTAGCAGAGAAATAAAATCAGCTGATAATCACTTAGATATATTGATATATTGAAATATGTCCTCGATGCAGGCATGTTGGTACTTATGGCAAGCCATTTTTACATTTAAACGTAGAGCTGGATGTGTATTGCAGATATCGCGAATGCAGTTTTGCCTGGTCAAAAAAAAAAAAAAAATCGGATATCTGACAAGCCCGCGCTGGCCGTGATTTCTGCTTGCGTCGTCCTAACTTCCTGTTTTGGCCGTTTTGTTTCGGTGATAAAGGTATTTCGACCAAAAACCGAAAATACACTTTAGGTATGATGCATCATTATGATGCAAAATGAACTATATTGATATTGTCCCACGCTATATTGCATTTAGAAATATATATATATATATATAACAATATCCAGATAATGCCCAGCCCTTGTGGACTTATAATAATGTGTGATATTGTGATATTTATTTTAAAATATCACACTTTGGTTGTTTTTACAGACATTAAACATAGTCTAGAAAGTATCAAGCTTTTTTAGCATTGTTACCATTAATAGTTTGGGGGTTTTTTTTTCAAAGAGAATGTGAACTGATTTCAGCCTCCTTCACTGGTTGTGTACATTAAACACATATCTTCTTTAAGTAGCTTACAGTTAGGTTTCCCAAGGTTCAGGGATTGTCATCAAGAAAGTATATCTTTAGCAAGCTCTGATGATGGGGAGTCATTGATTCAACAGTCTGGCCTTGCTGTTGCTAAGGCCAGTCATTTAAGTGCCTTTTCCCAGCATATATCATTTACTGTTAAATGTGTTTGTTTATTATTAATGTATAGTATATTTAAAATATAGGTCTTCTATTCAGTGATTTCTTTTTTTTTTTTCTGCTGGTGCATGACAGTAAACGAATATTGCATTTAGTTACAGAAGGTGTATTTTGTATGTAAATTGGCGTTTTTGTTATTGTTTGAAGGCAGCTTCTATTAAAATATGAAGACATGAAATGCACTTCTATTTATCAGCCAGGTTTTGCATATCTGCTTCTGTCTCTGAATCTCTGTTTGCAGCTGCAGAAGCCGAAGAGTGGCTTTTTCTAGAGAGATTTGAAGAGCTATTAATAGATCTCTGCCAGAGCACCAAGCACTGTGCTGTTGCTGCTGCTCCTATCTCTGTCTTCTCTTCACCACCACTCCTGTTTCTGTGTCTCCACGTCTCTTGATAGCTTTATTTATTCCACTTATTGGTCTTTTCTTTCTAATTTATCTAGACTTTCAGACTTTTCAGCTTTGATGTTAAGTATTGACCAGAGTAGACTGGGGTGAATGTTTTGCTTCTGGCCTTTTTGTCATTTACCTGGTTGATTTGTCTTTTGCGTGGTTTCTTTGTGTTATTCGC